CAAAACAATAATCGCATTACTATTTCCAAATAAACATAATCTTTTCTATTTTTACTAGAACATATTTACATTCATTCAATTATAAGTTTGAATCGCAAACCCGCATTGAGCAAGCGCGGTGATTATTGCTCAAACCTTCTCAGTATGAAAAGAGGCCTTTGCTCAGCAGTGAGCACTTATAGGCTGATGATGATGATGATGATAATTATATTCACAACACCAAACTTAGGATAAAAATTAATACGTGGCATAGAAGTGTAACGAAATATCTGTAATACTCGTTGATACAGATACGTATTACGAATACAATATTTGTAATAGGTACTTATTTATTTGTACGTTCATTGATATATTTGGATAAACTAATTTCACATGTCTACTGGTCAGAACCAGCTGACTGTTAGTTGACTAACCAGAAGATGGGGTATGATGGCGATATAAACCGAAATTTTAAAGGTGATTGTGAAGTTTTAAAATTGGTTGACGTGGTGATAATGTGTCTTAATACTTAAAACATTATTTCAGATCAATTATAAGTAGTAGGAAGTAAGTAGGAATATAATATCAGCTGCCTTAATATTAGCCTCATATTCAGTAATAGGTATAACACCTATATAAAAAGCTGTTACGAATATTTTCAGTACCTAATTGGATTATCGAAGTATAATTCTAAAGCCACGACTCTAATTTGTGTCAAATATGTATTTGGCATTGATTAGGTACATTCGAAATATCAACATTTTTATCAAAAATGTTTCGCAAATAATTGATAAATTAATATTTTAAAACTAAATTAAATACCTAACACTTGCTTTTTGTTTGAAAAAATCAAGTATTTTATTGCTTATTCTAATTAAATAATTATAATAATACAAGAATATTGTCAAGAAGTGTTTCTGTTCTGAAGTTTCGGAACGCTTTCATCAATGTTGCTAGCAATCAGCAGTATAAGGAATAAATAGTTATTCAAGGTATACGCATTGTTTATTGGTAATGACTTGTATAAAGGAGTACTAACTCCCTATTCAATGAATAGCTATCAAAGTGTTAAACAAGTGTGTAACCGTACTTTATTAGTAAGACCGTTTATGTCGATTTTTTTGTGTTTTCAATTGTTTTACATAAATAGCGACATTAAAATTTGTGTAAGACATCTCTAGTTTCAATTTTACGATATTTCGCTGAACTAAGTGGACTAAGTGGGTTACAATTTACAGTTTCAATTACAGGAAGTGTAGCCGCGGGAAAAACCTAGTCATCGATACAACTAATACTGGATTTTATTTCCGCCATTTTGTTGCGCTCGAGTTTATCAATCGGGAGCAGGTTAACATCCGCGTGTGCGCAGCTTTCACCCGGCGCATGCGCCGTTTGCATCTCTTTTGTTATTTAACTAACTATATTGATTAGTTTGTAGCTTTATTTTATTTAGAGCGCCTTAGAAGGTAGGAAGTCCCTTGACTTGTATGTTGCGTAAAATGATAAATTATTTTAGTGTAATCATTAGTCCAGTCTGGTAGTAGCTAATATAACTGGAGAGTAATTGCTTTAGGTTTATTTCAACTAGTCAAAACATAAAATTATGTTTTTGTTACTCTACAATATCTCAACAATATATAATGAAACTTTGGAATGCTTTAGGCTCACACCTACTGTGCTCACTGCGTACTGGACCTCGTTGCCAGAATATAGCTTCAGAAATATATAGATAGTGTTATAATTATTTGCCCTTACTTTAGGGGAGCGCCTTTAATATGTAACAGTTTAAAATACACAAACAAGGACATAATACATTGCCGGATTAGTTACAAAACAGTAACCACGTTATGTAAGATGGCGCGCATTAGCCAGCGCACTCGGAAGTCACCTATATTGGGACGCAGCGTACATACTGATTACAAGCACAGATTATAAAGAACATTGTTTGTGCGCAAGCGTGAGATTTCTTGTCTCTCTGGTATATTTAATTTAATTTAGTTTTTTTATGAGAATTAGTTCTTTTTTTGCGATGCTCCGTCGGATTTTTATTGTAACATTGATCGTGGTTTTTGTCTAAAATAATGTTTCATTATAAATAAACCCACATTTTAATTAATGATGATGATACGATGTTATCAGATTTTTTGGGAAACATTTGTCAGTTTATTTTTGCCGTGTTATTGAGGTTACTGGACGCCCAATTCTTTCCCTTTTCCCACCTTTCAGTCTTCCCTAAATTTCCATCCTTATCCCCAAAAGGCCAGCTATGCACTCGTAACTCTAGTGTTGCCAGTTATTATAGGCGGCGCCAATTGCTTGAGTTCCGTTTGCGAAGGTATCACGTAAAGAAATATGTATGTGTACCTACTATACAAGCTTATATACGTAGGTATGTACATAGTTATGCTTAAATAAGCTAAGCAACAAGCAGTACCTACATAAGACAGTGACGTAACGTTTATTGACACATTAAGCGTCCATATAAGGTGACAGGAATCTATGATATCTTGCAGGAACTATTCCGGTCTACTTCAACTACAGTATCACTTTCCCTTACTCTTGCTTCCTGTTTTAGTTGACTAGGTTTTAACTGCGGTGTCACTCGAGCTTTTGCGACAGCACCACTCAGGTTTGGAATTCCTAGGTGTCATCAAGGCCCGAGTGAATAGATTAGTTATGGGCAGGCAGCTTATCAATAGGCGAGCCAGAAGATAAAACGAAGAAAAAATTGAAAAGTTCCACTACATAATACTTACTTTTTTGAAGAAGGGAAAATCATCAAATGATTTTTCACCGAGGGTATGGCGAGAGGGTGCATCAGGCTCTTACTGAGCGAACACCCTCAGTTCCTGCTATCGTTTTCCTGCTTTAGGCCGAGGCCTTATGGTAGACTGGATCATCGCTTTCCAACAGCGCTTGCCATGCAACGATTGAAAATCTGTATTCTTACTGAAAGTAAAAGGGTTTGGCACCTCAACATATACCTAAAAAATACCCTATTATTAAATATTTGCATAGCTGCTCATGTGGCCATTGACCCTATTAGTTGTTAATTCTTAATTAAGTAATTCAACATTAAAACTTTTAACTAACTCTTCGGGCGAGTGAAGTGTTTTTGCTTTTGATTTTCTATCAACTCATAAGTACTAGAAGTTAACAATATCAATACAGATTTAGAGACAATAAATCTTGACAAAAATAAACGGACATACCTACGTATTCATTAGTTAGGATACCGTTCGGTCAACTTTATATACATATATATATCTTATCTTAGGACCCAAACAAGTTTTAAACTCGTAGAATGCCATTATTTATGTATTATTATGTATATATTCTTTCCGCATAAGATTATTCAAAATCCTGACTTTTTAGGCGTACGAAGGATTATCAAACCCGAATAATTGATAGGACTTTTTCTATTACTCTCTTGTTTTAGTTTTAATTAGATTAGCTATTCGTATTTCTCACCCAAAGTCACCCGTAATTCCATGGATTCCAAATGCACAGGGAAAAACAATATATTAATGAGTTGTTTCACACTGCCTTTCAGTGAGGCCGTGATATCAGTCCATTTCTCTCCCATATTTCAATTTGTAACTGTATAATCCTTTCTAGACTCTAAATTAAAAACCTATTAGATAAAGACATTAATTTTGCCTAATAAATGTTTGTGTAGCCATTCGACAGGTTGTAAATTAAAGCTATCACATAAAAAAGTTAGATACATGCTAATGAAGATAAATAATTATTAATTAGATTATAAAACTTAAGATTTCCTAAATGTTTGAAGTTTCTATTTAAATGACCTATCATGACGACCTTTCATGTGTGAGAGAGTCATGCTGCGGCACGAATGGGTCAGCTCGACCGGACTGATACCATGGCCTCGCAGAAACCGGCGTGAAACAAACACAGTTTTGTGTTTCGCCGTGTGAGTGAAGTTACCGAAGGCCCAATCCTTCCCCTTCCCCAATCCCTAAATCTCCCAATCCCTAATCCCCAAAAAGTCGGCAAACTCTCGTAACTCCCCTATTCCGTCCGTTGTCGTCTCCGTATGCTCGTTTGCCGACATATACATTAAAAAAAAACGATAGATGTTATTAAAGATTTTCAAATGACATCACCCTTACTCAATCACCGAATTATGAATGTACGAAGAAGTCTCAGTAGTCAGTTGATGATTTTCCCACCTCTAAAAGAAGCCAATAGAACAATTTATTTGTTTATTTATTAAGTACTAGTTCCTTTCTCTATTCCGATTCAGTTCTTAATTAGTCCATAAATTTTCAAGTTACGAGCGAATGAGCCATTATTGCGCCACAAACATTATTGTTTACTTGTTGCTGGAACAGATTCTTGCTATTGTTTCGATGTTGTTGCCAAATTCACTAGAAACATCTAGAAAGATCGGAGCATCTTCACGGTATGGGCCGTGGAAAGTAACGCACTAGTTAAACGAATAATTGGTGATTACTACATTTTGATTTGGCTTACAAAATTTGTAGCCATTGATATTTGGTGATATGCAATACAATGGCAACAGAGCTTTGTATGTTGTGGACTGTTTTGTACATACAGACTTCCAAAATGAGCATGATTCTCAATATGACCGTATATGCACATGCTTTTTAATTGATACTATTTTAGATCTATCTGAGTTAACATAAGACATAGATAGGCACAGAGGAATTGTTATTGCTACTAGATTGTGCACCAGAAATGTAGGTAAGATTAATGAACTAAAGCTAGAATATTAATCATAGTAGTGTATTAAGGTGACAAATTGTGAAGCTGACTAGATTAATTATCAATTCGATAGGCTTCACCATCTCCGGCCAAACGTTAGTGCGGTTCTGCGGATGGCGAGCAAGACTAGCTCGTCGCCCGACCAGAACCAGACCAGAGCGTAGGGCGCGTAGACTCGCGAACGTCTTTCCCTTTAAAAAAGTAAATTGATGATAACCTCCCCCCCAAAAAAAAACTCACTAACTAAAGTTGTACCATTTTTTTGACACCAGGTTTCCACGAAGCCATTGGCGAGACAATAGCTCTATCAGTCTCCTCTCCACGCCACCTTCAGACCCTGGGCTTAGTCCAACGTTCAGTGGACGACACAGCACACGACATCAACTACCTCTTTACTCAAGCTATGGACAAACTGGCGTTCTTACCCTTCGCTCTGGTCATGGATAAGTGGAGGTGGGATGTGTTCACTGGTGATGTCAGGAAGGAACAGTACAATTGCCATTGGTGGAGATTAAGGTTGGTGATTTTATCGATTTATTCTTTCAACAGTTCAAATTGGCAGATAGAGCACAATACGGCTGGTTAAGCTAGTGTTCCAGGGCCCCAGCGCAGGAGAAGGAACTCGGTGGTTTTTAGTTTCAGGCAGTAAGAGTCTATGACTTCCTCTTGTCACTCCCAGGGTGGGAGAAGTCTTTGAACGATTTTTCGCTCAAATAATAGGGATATTTGAGACTCCATGCGATAACCAGGAGTCTGAAAACTCAAGGGAATCCATACACCATACCAAATTATATACCGTTATACAAAGAATTGAGTACATCTCTACTAATATTATAAATCTGAAGTGTTTCTTTGTTTATTTGTTAATTGAACGCGCTAATCTCAGAAATTACTGATTCGAATTGATTATAATTCTTATGTTTATAAAATGTCTAGCTACTCTTGCGTGGTTTCACCCGCTGCTCGGCTCCATTTAATCCCAGCGTGATGTTTTATATATTATGCCTATAGCACTCAGGAACATTGCAGCTATTTACCAGTGAAAGAATTTTGGCAAGCGACCAGTGATTCCAAAGATTACTCCTTACATACAAACTTACAAATTTTACCTCTTTATAATATAAGTCTTGCCTTGGATAGTCCGTTTACCAAGGAAGGTAATATTGTATAAAATATCAAATAATACCTAATAGGAGATGAGTAGGACGGAGTAAAATGTAGATCGGAATTTTAATTAGGAGTAATAACTTAATGCTAAGAAAAGTAGCGATATTCCGAACTTGATATGCGAGTAGTATTTCAGTCCCGCGTTGTACATTTTTGGAAGTCCTTCAAACAAGAAAATAAAATCAGGGCCAACAACTTTTCAAAATGAATTTATATTCGAATTAATACTTTTTAAGCTAATTAACTTAAAGCTTACAAAATAGTTGTGTAAAATTTCGTATGTTTACAAACATACATATTTCAACATAACGCGACACGTGTATCAAAAACTAGGTAGCTTCACAAAATTGATGTACTTATAATTTAAATACGTTTTATCTCAAATGTCCGGAGGGATTCCAATTTCGAACGGGACAGCTAGACCGGAATGATTCCACGGCTGACTGAAAACGGGCGTGAAACAACAACGTTGTGAATGAGGTTACCGGAGGCCCAATCCCTCCCCATCTCACCATTCCTATTTATGTGATAGGTCGGCGAACGAGCACCCGCATTACCCAATCCTTAAATATCCAAATCCTTTGCTTACCATTAGTAAGTAATCGGCGCCGCCCATTGACACCCACAACACCAAAGGCGTTACGAGTGCGTTACCGGCCTTTTGGGGATAACGGTTTTGGATATTTAAGGATTGGGTAACACGTCTGCTCGTTCGCCGATCTATCACATAAAAAAAACATCAATTGCTTATTATCTCACATAACATACAACATACACACAACACATATTATTTATAATGAGGCATATTACAGTACGCAAGTACCTAATTGCTCATCGCCTTGGTTAAGCAACGGTCACCCTCAGCTGGCTCTTACGGCATGGTTGAGAACACAGCCGTATCTTGATCGTCTTCCATAGAATATTATGTAGTACCTAGCTGCAATACAATGCTTATAATGTAATGTGCTATTTTCTGGGAGAGCAATGTTTAGAAGAACTCTAAATACTGTGTCAGACAGTAAAAATAATAATTGTCTTTAATTACTTTTGAGCGATACAGGTATTTTTTTTTATGTGATAGGTCGGCAAACGAGCAGACGGATTACCTGATGCAACGGAGGAGTTACGATTGCGTTTCCGACCTTTTAGGGATTAGGGATTTGGAGATTTAGGAATTGAGGAGGGATTGGGGGAGGGGAAGGATTGGGCCTCCGGTAACCTCACTCATACGGCGAAACGCAACGCTGTGGTTTTTTCACGCCGGTATTCTGTGAGGCCGTGGTATCACTCCGGTCGAGCCGACCCATTCGTGCCGAAGCTTGGCTCTCCCACACTTTTATTTAATACTTTTATATTTTATTGAATACTAGCATGTAGAAAAATTTATTTACTCCGTGAATACTTAAATTGACGTTAAAACTATACGTCTTTATTGAATTTTTCATTTGTAAAAAATAATACATGTACAAAAATTTCGACTCTTATACTGACCGTGAATACAATACACAAACCGCAAAAATTCCGTGTCCCTGTTGTATTCGAAATAGAACGTTCCGAGAAACGTCAAATGCTATCAGCTTTCATTATCATTAATCCTTAGTTTTGTTTTTATATTCTTTACTTACATATTTCTTACCACAAATGAGTTTGCGTGTGTCCCAAAAACGCACATACTGTGGTTAAAATAATAATAAAAAAAATGTGTAGGAAAACGTATTACGGTTACAAAGCAAGTGAGAATGTAATTAATACAAGTTACGCATGTATAAAAATGCTTATTTAACGTAATTTTGAAAAAGAAAATAACTATGAGTACACTAATACTCTCTTAAAAGTTGGATTAGACATATTCTATACTAGCTTTTGCCCGCGAGACACTTCACGTGGAGTAGTGACTTCCTGTAGATTTTTGGTATAAAAACTATCCAATGTCCTTTCTTGAATTCTAAACTATGTACCAAAAGGAATCGGTTCAGTAGTTTAGGCGTGAAGAAAAGACAAATAGATAGATAGAGTTACTTTCGCATTTATAATATTAGTATCGATATAGATTTTGACAAAGATACAAAAAATGTGTTGTTACGATTCATCTTCATTATTGAGGTTTCAGAGTATTTTTTACCACGCCTACTTTTCCAGGGTTTCCTTAAGGTTTCTATCGTATGCGATAGGTCAACGGAATAGAGACGGATTACCTGATGTTAAGCAATCGGTGCCGCTCATGAACATCACACTAAAAGAGTTACGTATGCCTTACCAACCTTTTGGGGATTATGGTAAAGGAGGTGTATTGGATAGGATAGGAGGAGAGAAAGGATTCGACCTCTGATAACCTCAATAATACAGTGAAACATAATCCTGTGCTTGTTTTACGCCGGTTTTTTTGTGAGGCCGTGGTGTCATTCTGGTCTTGGTCGAGCCGGCCCATTCGTGCCCAGGATGGCTCTCTCACACTTGAGTAAGGTGGCTTAATAAACCATCTAAATAATAAACTTCACATCTGAATTAACAGAAATTATAGCAAATAATAGTAAAAATGGCTACGGGCTGCTAAAGATAATTATGATTGATGATCAACTGAAAATTTAAAGCTGTAAAATCAACTGTTCCACTCAACACAGGCTATATATCAAAGAACGTGCCACCTAGCGAGTGGGGATCACACACGAAGGGTTCCTGAGAAAAAAATGTTAATTGTATGAAAATCCCTCCATAAATATTTATTCAATGTCAGGTTTTCCTTAAGGAATAATACTTTTTGTGATTCACAAACTGTTGTTTCGAGTCTGGGTGGTATGAGTAGGTGAATTTTTATATTTAAAAACGCATCCACGACACAACGAAGAAGCCTAGTATGGTCAAAGTCAAAGTCAAAATTATTTATTCCAACTAACTACTACTAGGTACTTTTGGAACGTCAAAATAAAATAGTAGTCTGTCCGTCTGTTCGTCAGTAAAGCTAGGTGCTCGTTCCAAATAGTAAGTTCGAATGGAGGAGAACGAGCAAGAAACTCCATATGTTCTTAGTAGACAGCAGAAATACATCATCAGTCTGTCCACAATCGTCTTGCTATCGATTCATGATCACAAACGAACAGACGGACGGAAAGACGGATAGCGGAGTCTTCTTTACCCTTTACAGTACGGGACCCTAACAAAACAAGTGCACATTAACAATAACATCATTGACTTCTTTCACACATTCTTAATTACGCGTTAACTTTTTTTTTAAACCGACTAACTAACTGGATCGCTCATTACAAGTTAGATAATTCAGTTAACTCACGCAACTAGTAACTACATGACATAATATTAACGGTCCGATGATCGGTGTAAATAACTGTAACTATGTACTAGAATTTTGTAGGTCAACAAAATAGTAAATTATAATCGAATCACAAGCTTGTTACTCCATTGAAATCGATCAGTCGTAAGCAATTATATTGTAGGTACGTAATTATAGATTATTCTAAAAAGTTATCCATATAATTATATATCATGTATTTATATGTTTACTGTTCTTGATTAGATAGACAAAGTCATAATTAAAATTACTATTAATTTATTTCGCTCAGGTATCCAACAATTATGTATTTATAAAAGGAAATAAATGGAAAATAATAATTGAAGATCGCAATTTCAAATGTTTTAGTGTTTAGTTTAGCGCAATATTGTTAGTTGTTAATTTGATATTTGGTAATACTTATGTATATAAAAATTTATGGAAGTCGACCAGTATGCAGCTATGAAGTTTACGAATCACAACTCACTCTCTGCCTGATTTCGTTTAGTTGTGTAGTACTCCAAACTAAATATATTTTCTGTTTTCTTTGCTAAAAGTAAAACTTTGTCTTTTTTGTGTGGAGAAAATCATAACATCCTCCTCCTAGCTCTTCGTCTCCCGCCGTCGGTAGTCGCCAGAAGGAGTGTCAGTCATTTTCTGACTAAAAACCACATCCCTTCTTCTGCTCAAGGCCGCGTCCGCGGTACTTCGTTACGTTTAAATCCACAACCCCAGCTGTTAACATCTTAAGTTAATTACGCAAATTAAAATCTTAATAACAAACCAATAAAAAAAGAAACTGTAACACAACACAGTGAACTGTTGAAACAATTGAATTACAAAATCACTAATGAGTACGAAATTAAAAAAGAGATAATAATATTAAAAAAGAACACCATAAATATAGCGACTGGTTGCAAACGCAACTGAACTGGTATACTTCGTGATGGGATTGCGGTCATCTGACGGCCTTGACTCGGTAACGGGTTCATAATCTGAGATGAAAGCAAAAGTTGTTTCGAGTGTAAGGTGTGAGCGCCAGCGGAGAAATATGGTTCTAATGAAGACATTAAAAGTTGCAAAAATGATAATAGATCTTTGATTTTTTTTGGAGGAATTTAATCAAATATTAAAAAAAAGCTTATGAAAGTTTTTAATATGATTACGAAATTTTTTTTCACAAGTTTGATACTCGTTACATGTTATCAGTCACATATATCGTACCTTTAGTATTGTGGATGCGTTTACAAATTTCCTGATCCAAAAATACCCATACCATATATACCCATAAAAATACATTTAAAATTGCTAAAGTTTTTATTTTTTCCTTACTAGAACAATATTGCTTCACAATTAGAAATGAACTAAAATGTTGTTCTTTGGTTTGTTTAGATCACGATGTTTGCACACTTCCTAATCCAATATAACTCGCTGCCTCCTATCACAAAAAACTCATCCTAAAACGTACTATGTTACAGAGTGCACTTTTGAATGATGCAAGTTCAAAATCTTTAACTGTTAACCAACTGGCCTAATTGTACCCATAACATACATAACCTATGTCGATATACATAATAGTATATGTATTTATTTGTTTATATTTCTAGTGCAATCAAAGATTAGCAAAGAATTGAATGGGCTTTGTTGATTTGTGCTATTGCGTTTTTCTATCATCGAATGGCTTTAATGCGATCTTGCAATGTGGAGGTCAAGAACTTAGATAATCTTTTTTCAATAAAAAAACCTTGCCCCACACTAGAGTTTCTCTTGTGTCGTGGGTGCGTTTGCAAACGTAGAGATTTTTCATCGTAGTTTACTTCTTTGCTGTCAAGTAAATTGTACAATCATTAGCCGAGTGACCGAAATTGTTACTACCTTCTTATAATGAAAACATTAACTAACTCAGATCTTACTTAGTTGATGTTTTTCTTAATAATTGAATCGTTAAAATAAAATATAACCGAGAACACAAACAACGAGTATATTTATCTCTACTTAACTTTTCGGCGATAGCTTCTTTTAGTAAGTAGCAAGGAAGCATTTATGCGTGAGACTAAAATTGTGAGAATTTCTTACTAAGGTATGTGCAGTATTTTACGATTTTACCTTATGTCTATATAGATAATCTAATCAATCTTAACTTTTTTCCCTTTAGGGAGCAGTATCAAGGCATCAAGCCCCCAGTTCTCCGCTCCGAGCTGGACTTCGATCCTGGTTCCAAGTACCACATACCTGCTAACATCCCGTACATAAGGTAAGTCTAGTCTACATAGTATTGCGGCTACAAGTTGATGTGATCGGTTTTAATGGATCTGAAAAAATTATATGAAGATTTTACTACTACCCAATTATGCAGCAAGAAAGGTACGTAATTATTGGTCATCTACATAATATATTTGTTCGTATGTATATTTAAGTTTCTTTCAAAAAACAATTCGAAGAAATTTGTTTTTAAATTGAATTATTTGAAAGTTCAAAAAACTTCTAATTAATAGGTTTCTTCTTAAACTTTTTAAAATGGTGCGAGTACTCAATTTTTTCTCTACCTTTTCTCAATCCAACCTCTTTGGCTTCGATTGTAAACTTACTTAAAACCTCGCAATTCAACAACTACTTTACGTAAAAACCAATAAAATTTTGCTAACGAATATGACCTTTTATTAATATGAAACAAAAACTTTTTAATTAATTAGGAAATGGAATTCGAGAAATGGAGTTCGATTACTACACCGGTAGGTTTTATTTTATTAAAATATAAATAATCTCGTTACTTTGTTCCGGTTGAGTAACTGGTAGTTTCTGCAGCGATAGTATATAGTGATATTATCTTATTGCCATTTAGTTGACTGCACCAATTTGTCAATGTGCACTTTCTTTTGTTTTAAACGTCATATCTTGATTCCTTGAGTGTAGTAATAGTAGTGTGTGAATTATTGAGTGTAGGAACTTGCAATTATTCCCTCTTGTTACATCTCCTTGATAAATAATACAGCCCTTGAGAATTGGTATGTCATCCAGCATTTATAGAGGATACGTTTTCTCATGAGAAAGCCGAACTCTACGAACTAAATCAATTTAAACAACATTTTTTAATAGCTATTAAAAATTAAGGGCAGGGAGACGTAATTTCTCCGAAACTGTTCACGAACGCATTGGAGGACGTTTTCAAGCTCTTGAACTGGAGTGGCTTTGGCATCAATATCAATGGCGAATACATAACTCACTTGCGCTTCGCCGATGATATAGTCGTTTTGGCAGAGTCGTTGGAGGACCTGAACACCATGCTCATCGACCTTAATGTCGTTTCCCAACAGGTGGGTCTGAAAATGAACATGGACAAGACGAAAATCATGTCTAATGTCCATGTTGCACCTGTACCGGTCATTGTTGGGAACGACATCCTTGAAGTTGTTGACCATTACACATACCTTGGTCAGATCATTCAGCTAGGTAGGTCCAACTTCGAGAAAGAGGTCGCCCGAAGAATCCAACTCGGATGGGCGGCGTTCGGGAAGTTACACGATGTCTTCTCATCGAAAATCCCACGGTGCCTGAAGACCAGGATGTTTGACCAGTGTGTGTTGCCGGTGATGACGTATGGTACTGAGACGTGGTCCTTAACTTCTGGCCTTCTTTCTAAACTCAGCGCCGCTCAGCGCGCGACGGAGCAGGCTATGCTCGGGGTCTCTTTGCGCGACAAAATCCGAAATGTAATTCGCCAAAGAACCAAAGTCACCGACATAGCTCGTAAAATCTGCAGGCTAAAGTGGCAATGGGCAGGCCACGTCGCTCGAAAGACGGACGGTCGATGGGCCCGAAAAGTCCCAGAGTGGCGACCAAGGACCGGAAAACGTAGTGTGGGCAGGCGTCCCGCTAGGTGGACCGACGACATCGTCAGAGTTGCGGGGAGCCAATGGATGCAGGTGGCAACTTGTCGTTCGACGTGGAGAGCCAAGGGGGAGGCCTTTGTCCAGCAGTGGACGCTTCCGGCTGATGATGATGATGATGATGATGATTAAAAATTACCCAAATGTATAACTAGATTCTTGTGAATCTCATAATTACAATTTTGTATTCGATTAAAATAATATAAGTAATTGAAATATTTATTTTAATATGAATTCTTTCCCAAATTTTCACTACAAAATTCCCAAGCCATTTACTTGACCAAACAAATTCCGTATTGCTAAAATATTACATCATACCTTGTAGGGATAAAATGGACAGTCGAGGTCCATTGTGAACGTATAGACACTCGCACATCAAGATAACCCAATCTGTGTTATAAATTTTCTACTTTATGGCATAAGGTTGAGGGCTGAAAATGTCTTGTGTTGTTTAAGTATTGGAGTCGTGACAAGCTGTAGGTAATTCATGTCCGACTGTATCGAGAAACTACCGGCGTTCACACGGTGTTGCGTGTGATACTGATTTAATTAGCTTTACATATATATGATACATTTAAGTGAATTAGTGAATAAATTATTGAACAAAAATTTTTTTTAATCATTTCTCAGTACAAAATCTGCGTTTGTTAAATAAAAAAACGATATAAGTTTTTGGCTCCTAAATGGATAATGCAGGCTGGTGTACAGTCAGATTGACACGGGCTTGCCCTACATAGGCGAGAAAAAAATTGATGATTTCCACCTCCAAAAAAGTAAATGTCGCCAACAGAATAGCCTTAGAACCGCCTCTACTAAACTTGCTATTATTTGATAGCATTTATCAATTATGACAATTTCAATCCGCCAACCTTCTGATATGAATTAAATTGCATTTAATGAGTATTCTAGAACTTAATAGAAAGTGACAAAACGTAGATTTTCCTACAAGCTCATTAGTTACTGGGGATGAATAGACTTGGCAGCGAGCTACAAGTTACATAAACGTTGTGCAAGTAATGCGGTTGCTATGATGACTACGCATTTATGTGCAGGAAGAGTTTTGTGCGCTCCGTGTGGTTTTCGGAACATGTAATTCTTAATATTTAAGTATATATTAACTACATATTATTCATATATTATAGCGACCCACCCCGGCTCCGAACTGATACTTAATTTGCCCACTATTTATATTATATTAGTGTACAGTATTTACAATAAAGCTTCCTCTTCAATCACTCTATATACTTGAAAACCGCATCGAAATCCGTTGTGTAGTTTTAAAGATTAAAGCAAACATAGAGATACAGGGACAGAAAAAGCGACTTTTCATACTATGTAATGATGCGTATTAAATAATACGGCTAAACATCATTTATTTCATCATTATCAGGAAGAAGATGATGCATGTATGTTTAAATTTTTGTCTGTTTCGTGTGAATCTCGAAAACTGAAGAACAGATTTTGATATGGTTAAAAGCTGTGTATAGAGCGAGATCTATGTATTTTAGAGGTATTTAAAGCTTTTATATTGATTTCAGCGTTCGTGGTGAAGGATCAATGTAATTTATATTATTTCTATTCACGTGTCAAGGTTCGAATTACAAAATTAATACATATAGTATTCGTAACATATGTTCCCTCCCAATAAAATAACTACGCATTTTGTTCGAAATATAATTTATGTGACATTAATGATAATTAGTTTTAACGAAATTTATAACAAATTGCCCTTCGAGATGAGTCAATGATTACGCTGTGATTGCAGTATTAGATATCACTCAGCTTTCGTATTCTTTTGCAAATTAATATGACCTTTTGACTAATAATTACATTTACATTACATTAACAATAAATTTTAATTTTTAATCTCAATTGTTTTAATTCATAATCGTGAATACATAGTTGAAGATGAATCTGTTATATCATTTTACAAAAGGAGGTGGCATATGCCATCGACAAACTCCTCTATAAACCTACTATAATCTTTAAAAAAATGATGTTTGTCTAGTATACTAACTATACACTACATAATACATAGTTTCCTAGTCCAATGATTGATTATACGCGTATACTCACGTACCGTGATTAGCAATTTTCTTCCATTACCAACTAGACTTCCTATTTTTTACCCTTTTATGTAGTTGGAAGATCAAAATCGGTGTTACATTATGCTAATACAGTATTATGTAAGTGATATTTTATAGCAATCAGTATAATTTTGAGGTGAGGTGTTTAAAAATGTCAGGTTTCATTTGACCAGAATTCGATTTAAAAAAAAAACTTCACTGCCAGTGTTGTCTATGGGGGTAATGAAAAGGCCTCATAGAAATTTCACAAAATTAATTCTACCTATTGTAAACCTGTTAATGTTAATTAATATGAAAAAAGTAGATTGTTCCATCTAAGGAAATGTAAAAGCCTCTTTTTCCACGTAACATAGATAATGTTATACTCGTATGATTATAAAATTAATGAATTTTTAACCACTTAGTTTTCGCCAAAAATGTACGTACGTTATACGTTATTAGGGACAGTTTAAGTATAAGAAAATAACTCTATTATATTTATGAAAAACTTAATCGTGTTTCGTCTACAAAATCTTATGAAATATAATATTTAAACGTTTAATCTGTTCGTTTTAAGGCGTATTGTTATTTAGCACGATATGTTTCCACAGTGAATTTATTCTCAAAAATCTGGGTTAGCTAGTGAAAGTGAGTTCTGTCTGTTCAATTTTATATGCGTATATTTTAGGATTATTTTGCTTAAGTGTCTGATTTCTTCTGATTGTATTACCTCATTGATTTTCATTAAGGCTTATTATGCGAGATTTTCTTTTTTATTTCAATTTGTAACTGGTTGTAAAAACAATATTTTTTGTTTTATGAATTTTGGCGTGTGCTTCAGATGTGATTATTGGTAGAATGAGATCTTACTAGAATTTTGAATTAATTGATAACTTGTTGGAACGCTCACCGCTCGGAAAGCTTATTCTTTTATACTGTGCTATTAGCACAAGTTACACATAGCTCGCCCAGTCATCGTCTTTATGAGTTTCCTTTCATTAAGAGATAATTAAGAAAGTTTACTATTCAATGCGCTTTCCTGATCGCTTGGATATGGTAAGAAAACAATACAACTAAAACATAGTAACATTTATATCACTTTTTTAATACTTTCGTTACTATTTACATCGTCACAGGTACATAGCAGTCACAAACATTATCAAAAACAAACAATTACTAAACAAGATAACACTTTAAAGCTAAAGAAAAAATAAAGAGATCAGTTCTTTTAATGGTGGTGGTGGTGCTCGTCGAGACCGCCCTCGTAGCCTCCGTCTAGGCCTCCTTCATGGCCACCCTCAAGGCCTCCGAGGCCTTCGCCCTCACCGTGCGACTCATGGTGAGACTCCTCATGATGCTCGTGGTGCTCATGGTGGACAATGGGCACATGCACCTTCACGGGGTAAGGCACGTGCTTCTCCACGTGGTAAGGCACGTGCTTTTCAATATGTACAGGGATCGGCCTGTCGACGGGGATCTTCACTGGGTACGGCACCTTCTTCTCTACTGGGTAGGGGATAACTTTCTCTACTGGGTATGGGACTGGGTAAGGTACTTTGACGGGGACTGGTACTGGCTTGTCGACGTGCACTGGCACTGGGTTGTCAACTGGAACCTTAACTGGGTAAGGCACGTGCTTCTCAACGGGGTAAGGTACGGGCTTCTCAACCGGCACAGGTACAGGCTTCTCGACATGTACGGGCACGGGGTTGTCGACGTGAACCTTTACTGGGTAGTGGATAACTTTCTCAACGGGGTATGGTACTGGCACCTTGACGGGTACTTTCACGGGGAACGGCACTTTCTTCTCTACAGGGTAGGGGTGAGGCACGGGCACTTTGACCGGGTATGGCACGTGCTTCTCGACGGGGTATGGGACGTGTTCGTACACTTTCACTGGAACGGGGTTGTCGACGTGAACTTTCACGGGAACAGGCACGTGTTTCGTCACGGGGTACGGTTTAGGGATATATTCGGGTACTTTGATGTATTCTTTGACTGGGAAGTGGACGGTTTTGACGACGGGGTAGGGCTGGGGTACGTGCACCTTGACAGGGTAGGGCACGTGTTTTTCCACTGGCACGGGGATGTGTTTCTCGACGGGGTATGGCACGGGAACTTTCTTGACTACAGTGATGGTTTTGTGTACATGGTGTTCCTCATGGCCGTGTCCATGTCCCTCATCGCCGCCACCGATGGATCCTCCGAGATCATGTCCGAAGGAGTCTCCACCGAAGTCGCCGCCACCAAAGTCTCCGTGGTCACCATAGTACTCCGACAATCCTCTTTTGTCTTGTCTCTTTGTTTCCTCTGCGGCTTTTGGTTCAGCCTTAGTGTCCTTCTCCGCCTTCTCCTCTGCCGTGGCCAGGCTAAACGCCACGGCCAGGATCAAGGAAGACCTCTGAAACGAAGAAAAAAATATTCTGTATATTATATTATATTACCAGTCATTACCTCGAGTGTCCAGCGGATGATCAGAAACTATGTGAACACACGCAAAGATTCGCTGCAAAATTGTCACCATGACTAATCTAAAACAACTACGATCGAAATTATATAGGAAACGTTAAATGAAAAGGGAAATTAACTTATACTGGTGAAATCTAACTGGAAGTGAACACAAGACAAGAACTTTCCGAGCATTGTGGGACAACTCATAACGACTAGTTATGCGAATAAGGAAATAACTTTACGTAATATTGATCTAGTAACGCGTCTGACAGTCATATGATTAATTACAATCGGTTGAAAGATGACACGTCTGACGTAAAAAAAAAGAAAATCAATTGTCGCGAGTCCCGTTGTCACATTTAAATAAAGAACACACAATGACACTTGACATCCGTACTGCACACACATAGAAAACTGTCACCAGTTTTTTCTACTAACCAGTAGCTTCATCTTCGCTTCGCTTGTTGTTCAGCGAATGTTACGCCGTGAGTGTATTCCAAGCACGCCAGTTGCCAGGTTTTATACCTCGTGTAAGTAGTTTACTATGTACGAATGTTGCAAACACTTTCGCTGGTGTGAGTAACGGTTCTCTGTGTGAGTGTTGATTTTTTAAGAAGATGGCATCTAGCGGCCACTGCTACGTCGGTCTTTTGAGTTGAAATATTTAGTAGAGAATTTTTGAAAAATAAATATAGTTATCTAATCGTATTGACTGTATCAGTAATAAAAATGGAGAAATACTTGTTTCTGATACATTAAAATAAATTTAAATAAAAGTGATTTCAACCATTACAAAAACATAAAACGCTGCAATGTAAATTTCAAAACAAAAAGAAATACTTCAATTGAATTTCGAATAAAGGCATCTCAAAGTTTTTTTTATAATATAATTATTTGGTGCCAGTTATATTAAGTAAAAAGTAAATTTACTTTAAAATCAATTTGAAAACAGAACTTAACATGAACAAAAATCAACCTCAAAATTTCAACACACTTCGATTCAAAAATAGAAGACACCCTTTTAACTTTTTGTTCTTGAAAAATTACATAATGGTCACGATATTTTCCTTCACAGTTCAAAGAACTTATGATGAAACAAATTTCGTAAATATAGTGCGTGCCTACTGAGATCAAATTCACGACTAACATACTCTCAAAGCCATTGGACCACCTACACTCTGATATGTGTTTTAAAAGCTAATTAATAAAATAGAAACTCGAATTACGCAATAGTTTAGACAAAATTTACTAGTTTTTTAATATGCTACTTTAACATCAAACTCATAAGGTTTAAAAATTAATTCAATAGACTAGCAAAGACAGACTTTGCTTTAAGAATTACAAATCATACTTTATTTTATCAATCATACGTTTTTAACTGCTGTACAAAAAATGACTAGACAAAACGATAAAGAAAATGAGAATTAAAATTAATTTAATGCCACAAAGCAAATATCAATAAAATAGTTACCAAAAGTTTAGAGTACAAAAAATGTAAGCCCTAAAAACCACAAAACAGAAAACAGAATTCATTTCGTCCACAGAACTGTCTTTTTGTCTGATACTGTCAATGATGAATGGTCAATGATGTTAATCCTAGGAACCGGCGTGACCCACATAGACTTGTTCTAGATGATACTGCCAGGCTCACTAAATATAGTAAAAGCTGCTTATGTAATTGTGTTCGTATATATAATAAGATACCGAGTGATTTAAAAAAATTAAATTCTAGATTATTTAAGAATAAATTGTTTGCTTGGTTGAATAAGAATAATTTCTATTGTCTTAAAGAATTTATGGAAAAAAAATTTAATGCTACCTACATATAAGTGAAAAATTTGCATGCTAAGTATAATTTTGGCAAAACATGTAAGCTCTTTATAATAATTATTGTAACACCATTTATACCATGTTTTATGCAAATAAAGAATTATTATTATTATTTTTGCGTTTTAGGTTACAACCTCTCCCAAATGTATATGGGGAAATACGCCAAAGTTACGGGCTTGTGGCCAAAGCAACCTTGGGGATGATAAGGTGTGATTTAATTGATGGATAAAAACTTCCTTACTATTCTGCATGTGTTAAGTATGACAGCTTTCTGTAGGAGTGTGAATGTAAGGGGGTGTAAATCAAGGGTCTTTAAACTTGTATGAAGGGTTTTGGGGATGACGCCTGTACTGGATATTATGATAGGAATGGTCTTAACAGTGTGTACCTGCCACTGAGTTTTGAGCTCAATGGTCAGGTCCACATATTTGGTGAGTTTGTTGGTGTGAGTGGAACTTAGGTTATGTGTGTTTGGGATCGCGATGTCTATGAGGTATACTATTTTGTTTATCTTGTCGTTGGAATGTGATGTCAGGCCGGTTATGGTGTACAGTTTTATCTGTAAGTATGGTCCTGTCCCAGTACATTTTAAATTCGGGTGAATCGAGGATGATTTGTGGTGTGTATTTGTAGTATGGTATTTTCTCTGCGATGAGTTTGTGTTTGTATGCGAGTGCTTGATGTATAATAGCTGCTACCTGGTCGTGTCTGTGCTTGTAGTCTGTTTGTGTGATGGATGAAACATGAGCCTGTGATGTGTTGAATAGTCTCAGGTTGTCTGTGACAGTGTCGGCAATGGTCACTGCCAAGGGTACTATCGCGGATTATATATTTTCTGTAGTTCTTAGTGTCAATCACTTGGTCTTGAATCGCTAACATAAACCCTTCTGTTTCTGGGAACAGCTCGCCTCGCTTTAACCATGCGTTTGACGCTACCTTGTCAACAATAGGGTTGGTTAAATCGAGACGATGTCGGCCATGGAGCGATTTTGGCTCCAAGTTTGTATCTTTTGTTGTCTGGTTATTGTGGTAATTTGTTTTGTGTGATCTCCTAGGCATAGTGGTGTGGCTGTGTCTGCTTCACAGATAGCTTTGTGAAGTGGAGAATGTTGTGAGCGATTGAAAAAAGAATTTTCTGAGTCCTAAAATCTGGTTGTGATGCAGGATTGTGATGTCAATGAGCCCTCTGCCACCCTCAATTTTAGGGAGGGTTAACCTCTGAATGCAAGCCCTGGGGTGATGTTTTCTGTGCTTGGTCATTGTGGTGTTGATTATTCTTTGTAATGTTGTGAGATCTGTTTGTGTCCATCGTATGATGCCAAAGGAGTAGGTTAAAATAGGGATGGCAAACGTGTTAATTGCCTTGATTGTATTTCTAGAATTGAGGTGTGTGTGTAGAATTTTGTGTAGCCTGTGTCTGAAATTTTGTTGCAATACTTTCTTAGTATTGTTATGATGAATTTCTGTTGATTGATAATAACCTAGATATTTTAACCCTCATTGGGGTCTACGGCATCTACTATTTCGTTGTTCCTTAGTTCATACGATGTCGGTTCTACAGTGCCTTTGATGACTGACTGGATTTTTGCACTTGTCTATCCCAAATTCCATGCAAATGTCATCTGAGAATCTTTGTGTGATGTCAGCTAGGATGTGTATATCGTTTAATGTACCTGCAAAAAGTTTGATGTCGTCCATATACATCAGATGAGTGAGACCTGTATGTTGTGAATTGTGTTTAATTTTGAAACCGATATTATTTTTATTCAGTATGTTGGAGAGAGGGTTAAGTTGCTAGACAAAACCATAACGGGCTAAGTGCATCACCTTGGAAGATGCCTCTTTTTATTGGAATAAATTCTGTTTCTGTGTTTTGATTTCCGTGACGTATTTTTAGTTTCGTTTTCCAAGTGGGCAATATTTTTCTAAGAATTGAATGATAATGGGATGTATTTTGTAATGCTTTAAAATATAAATTAGCCAAGAGTGTGGGAATGGAGTCGTAGGCTTTTTTATAGTCTATGTACATGGTGTGTATGTCACGTTTTTGTTTGAGGGCTTGTTTGCATGCTACAGCGTCGATAGTTAATTGTTCCTTGCATCCTCTACTATTTTTTCGGCACCCCTTCTGCTCTTCTGCCAGGATGTTGTGTTCTTGTGTGTGTTTGTATATCAATTCGCTAAGGCACGATGTAATGATTTTATATACATTTTGTAGGCAAGTGATAGGTCGGTATTTAGCAGGATTAGCTGTGTCAGATAGATCTTTTGGAAGCATGTACGTTGTGCCTCGCGTGATGTTATGGTGGCATTGTGTCTGGTGATTGAATGAATGTATTTATATGTTTAAGTAGTAATGTATGGGTGCATGTTAATTTTTTATACCAGAAGTTATGAATATTATCCGATCCTGGGGTTTTCCAGTTGTGTGTCCTAGCTATAACTGTTTGTAATAGTTGTAAATTAATTTGATCAAATTTCATTTCTGGTGTATCTATCCATCTTTCTCTATCTTCAGCAATCCAGGAGTTTTGATGGTGTGTGACTGAGTTAGACCAATATTTGACCAAAATGTGTGTAGTGATTCGGGACTTGGTAGTGGTGTGTTATTTTCTTGTAAGCTACTATGTTGCTGATTTATTTTCTGTAAAATAGTTTTTCATTATTGTTGAACTGTGTATTTTGTGTTTTTCTAGTCGTCGTCTCCTTATACCTTCTTAACCGATTTGCTAGTGCGTTCAGTTTTTGTTTCAATGTATCTAAAAAATGTGTAATGTCTGAGTTTTCTGATTCGTGGCGTGTGTGTGTTTTGTATATCTTTTTATATTACTGATGTGGTTTTCTAGGGCTTGCGATCTTGTACCCTTTGTATACTCAGTTAGCCTTCCTATGTTAGCCCTGAGTTCACTAATCCTATGTTCTAGACGTCTTTGCCACCATGGTGCTTTTCCTGGTTTATTGGCAATTACATTATTTTCTTTAATCCTAGCTCCATTAAATATCGCTGTAGTGTATGCTGCGCAGTAAATATGTGTCTGAAGAGTGTAGAAGTCTGTTTCCGAAGTAAGTATATTTGGGAGTATGTGAGCATTGAGATGAGTCGTGATAGCTGCTAGTTTTCTGGAAGATTTTAACTTTGGTATATAAGGTCTCGTTGTTGGGTCAGATTCTTTGAATTTGTTATAGTGGTCTTTATACAATTGCTCTAATTGTCCAAGTAGATCAGCGGACAGGTTTAGAGTGTTTTGCGCTAGTGGTTGTGTGTTTTGTTCGTTGGTAATTGTTGACATTGTTAGTTCGGGGTTATTGTCATTGATATTTATTGGTGTTGACGTTGTTTGAGTTTCCTGTAAAGTGAGCTGTGACAGTGGTGTTGTTAATTCAGGACTATATGTACATATAGACGCCAATTCACTCCGAAACTTCTTCCCTAATCTGATTTAGTCGGTCAACTGATAATAGTTGGTTATTGACAATGGATCTCCGTTGGTCTGATATTCTTTGTGCGGATAGGTGTGCAATAGACGGGCATTTTGAGATGATGTCTTGGTGTAGTAATGGTCTATATGTGGTTAAGTCTGTTTCAAGGTTTGTTAATCGGTAATAACTTCTCATAATAGCTTCATTTAGCTCAGCTGACCATCTTATTCTAC